CTTCTCTTCTCTTCTCTTCTCTTCTCTTCTCTTCTCTTCTCTTCTCTCCTCTTCTCTTTTCTTTTCTTTGAGACAGTTTCTGCTGTCTTGGAACTCACTTTGTAGAGCAGGCTAACCCTGAACTCAGATCAGCCTGCCTCTGTCTCCTGAGTGCTGGGATTAAAGGTGTGCACCACCACTGCCCAGCTGGAAGGGGCATTTTAATGTGCTTTTTACTTATGGTTTTGCTTTGTTTCTTCTATTAAATTTTTTATTATATATAATATACATATACTAAAATATATAATTGAACTATAAAATTATATAATTACATATATACCACCATCTATATATACATATATGGTTATTTTGCCTGCATGCATGTTTGTATAGCATGTGTGTGCTTGGTGCCCTCAGAGTTCAGAAGAGGGTATCAGGTCCCCTGGAACTGGAGTGAGCCACCATGTGGGTGCTTGGTATCAAACTTGATCCTCTGCAAGATCAACTAGTGCCCTTAACAAGTACTTCACCTCTCCAATTCCTTTAGTTTTTATCTACTGCGTGTATGTGTGTATAATAGTAAGGGCTGAATGTAGGGCCTCCTGCATACTAAACCAATGAGCTGTATTTCCGCATTTTTCTCTTTTTTTATAGTTTTTTTTTTTTTTTTTTTGCCATGAGGTGATGGCAGACACCTTTAATCCCAGCACTCAGGAGGCAGAGACGGGTGAATCTCTGTGAGTTCAAGGTCAGCCTGGTCTACAGAGTGAGTTCCAAGACAGGCTCTAAAGCTGCAGAGAACCCTGTCTCAAAACCCAAAAAAAGAGCCTGGAAAGATGGCCCAGAGGTAATGAGATCTGGTGCCCTCTTCTGGCATGCAGGCTTACATACAGACAGAACACTGTATTCATAATAAATAATAAACCTTAAATATACATATATATACATATATACATACATATATGTAAAAGCTGAAGGATCAGAGAAGCAGACAGTCACTAGTTCTTACCTCTACCGATGCCCAGACCAAAGGGGTGACCCTGTCCTCAGACTGCATCTTCCGACTGTACTGAGCTGCTGTCTCCTCTTATCTTCCTCTCTCCGCCCAGCCATATCACTCCTGTCCCCACCTCCCTAGTGCTTGGGATCATCTTTGTGTGCTCTGTTTCTTTTCTAGATTGGATCAATTTCGTGTAGCCCAGGGTGACCTTGAACTAACAGAGATCTATCAGTCTCTGTCTCCCAAGTCCTGGGACTAAAGGTGTGTGCCACCACTACCTGGCCTCTAGTAGCTTAGCTCTGCACTCTGATCTTCAGGCAAGTTTTATTTATTAAAACACAAACAAAATATCACCACAGAAAATGCCTCATGTTCCCATTCCCCACCCCACCCCTGCCCTGGCCCCAATTTACCCAGGAGATCTCATCTATTCCCCTTCCCAAAGAAACCCATAGTCCCTCTTAGGGCACTCCTTGTTACCCGGCTACAAGAGGCCCGCCCCTTCTGGAGTGAAGGAGGAGGGAATGTGGTGCAGGTAGACGGGGGGGGGGGGGGGGGGGACACGACTGTGGTTGGTATGTAAAATAAATGAAAAAAATTAATAAAAAATAGTAAATTAGGGCTGGAGAGATGGCTCAGAGGTTAAGAGCACTGAGGGCTCTTCCAGAGGTCATGAGTTCAATTCCCAGCAACCACATGGCGGCTCACAGCCATCTATAATGAGATCTGGCACCCTCTTCTGGCATGCAAGCATACATGGAAGGAATGTTGTATACATAATAAATTGTATACATAATAAATAAATTAAAAAAAATAGTAAATTAAAAAGAAAGCGAATGCCTCACAGACACAGCCCCAGGCCAGTCCCATGGAGGCAATTCCTCAGCTGAGGTTTTGTCTTTCCAAGGATGTCAAGATGATAGTTGAAGCTAACCAGGACAAAGTAGTTGTGTGGCAATGGGCACAATTATTTCTCCGCTGTGGGGAGGTGCCTTCGTGAATCTACTTGTGAACGCTGAGAAAGCTTTGGGGCCTGTGAGGTAGCTGGGCAAGTCAAAACACTTGCAGTCAAGCCACCGACCCGAGTTCAATCCCTGGGAGCCACATGGTGGAAGGAGAGAACCAACATTTGCAAATGGTCCTCTGGTGTCCATTATTCACCTGCATGAGTGATTGTATTATACACGCACATACACAATAGATAGATAGATAGATAGATAGATAGATAGATAGATAGATAGACAGATAGATAGGTAGATAGATAAGGAGATGGAGAGATGGCGGCGGGGTCATGACGAGGGGGGAGAAGGGGGACGGAGGATCCACAGAAACAGCTGACCTGACCTCATGGGACCAGCCTAGGCCCTCTGCATGTGTGTGACAGCTGTCTTTTTGTAAGTAGGAGCCAGCAGTGAGAGCAGGACCTGTCGCTGGCGCTCAGCTGCCTTTTGGGAACCTGTTCCCCATGCTGGATTACCTTGCCCAGCTTTGAAGAACTGGGAGGAGCTCAGTCCTACCCTAACTTGAAGTGCAAGGCTTTTTCCAAGCCCATGGGCTGAAGGGAGAAGATGGAGGAGTAGAAGGGGAGGGGGGTAGATGGGAAGGCGGAACTGAGAAGAGAGGAGGGAGAGGAAACTGAAGTTGGTATGTAAATTAAATTTTAAAAGGTATTTAAATAAAATAATTTTTTAAAAAAAAAGAGAGAGCACTGGCTACTCTTCCAGAGTACCTGGGTTCAATTCCCAGCACCCACATAGCAGTTCACACTTGTTTGTAACTTCAGTTTCCAGGGCATCTGGTACCTTCACACACATACATGAAGGCAACACACCACATAAAACTCAGTAAATAAACAAATAGTAGTAAATAAATAGATGTAAAAATTTACAGGATGCTCTCTTTGGCATCACTAAGTGTCTGCCTCTGCAATGTAAGCTTTCATCTCAAAGTTTGAATGTGCAAATCCTCCTGCAAACCGAGATAGGGAAAGAGAGGAGTAGAGATGGGTTGGAGCAAGTATATACCTATAATCCCAGAACTCAGGATCGAAAGGGCAAGGCCAAGACAAGTGTGGCATGTGCCTTTAACTTCACTGTTCTATTTATTTATTTATTTGATTTCTCTATGGCTTTGAAGCCTGTCCTGGAACTAGTTCTTATAGACCAGCCTTATAGCTCTTATAGAACTAGCTCTGCCTGCCTCTGTTAGGATTAAAGGCGTGCGCCGCCACCACCCAGCAACTTCAGTAGTTATGAAGCAGAGATGGAAAGATCAGGGATTTAACACCAGCCTATGCTACATGAGACCCGATTTCAATTAAAATGTAATCAAACCAGGAGGTGGTGGAACATGCCTTTAATCCCAGCACTCAGGAGGAAGAGGCGGACGGATCTCTGTGAGTTCGAGGCCAGCCTGTTCAACAGAGCGAGTTCCAGGACAGGCACCAGAACTACACAGACAAATCCTGTCTCAAAAAGACAAAAACAAAACAATAAATAAATAAATAGATAAATAAATAAACAAACATATAATAAAGCTGACTGAGAACACAGCACTGTCAGTAAAGTGTTCCACTCCCAAGCTTGGATCATGAGTTGAATCTCCAACATGTATATACAGAGCCAGGGACGGGGACACTGGAAAGGTGGGGACTAGCTTAATCCCCAAGCTCCAGTGGACAGCTCCTGAGGAAGGACACTGTGGGGTTGAGATCTGGTTTCCACACACACACATGAACACATGTGCATGATACACACACACACACATAAATGTATGTACACATGCATAGTGAATACCAGTCCAGCCATGCCTACATAACAATACCCTGTATTAACTGCCCCCTTCCAAAAAACCAGAAAGGAAGGGAGAGGAAAGCGGGGAAGGAGGAAGAGAAGGAATATGGACCGGACTGTTGGGGAAAGTACGGGAGGGGCAGGGATGGTATGAAGGCAACAGTTACCTAGCCCTCCCTGGGGACTCAAAGGAGCCAGCTTGGATTCATATTTTTGTTGTGCCAACCCGAAGATTTATTCAACAAAATGGAGTGAACAGCACAAATAAGTCCCTGTTCTTGAGAAGTAAATGGCCCTCGGAAGTTCCTGAATTCTCCCACAAGCCTCTCTTGATTGGGCTCCCATTCCTGGCAGCCAAATGTGCCCTGACAATGGTGGTGATTGTGAGAGGAGCAGATGAGAGCCAGGGAAGCGAGGGGAGGGCCAAGTGAGCATCAGCCAGTCAAGTTCCATTTGCATTTTTATGCTTCCTTCCAGAATTTTCCTCATGCAAATACATTTTTTCCCACAAAGCAGTCTTCCTATATATAGACTGCTCTGTAACCTGCTTTTCCTCATCTAATAATACAAGAGTGTTGTGGCAAACATATATTTAACTTATGGGCACCCAATTGTATGTCCTTGTTGCAGAGTGAGAGGAAGGAAACAAGAGGTGAACATTGAAAGTCATCAGGAGGAAAATAATGAAGATGGCTTTTTTGTGACCTGCATGCCTGAAAGGGATACTTCAAGATGTTGTTGTTGTTGAGTAAGAAGCAGCAGGCAGGCCAGGGAGATGGTTCTGTGGGTAGAGGCTTATGCTGCCAACCCTGACGAGCTGAGTTTGTCCCAGGAACCTACATGGTGAAATAAGAGAACCAATGCCCAAAGGTTGTAGCCGGACCTCCACACATGCAGTGGCACACTTCTACACATACACCACACACACCATAAATAGATGATA